ATTCTTCACCGAAAACAGCACACTCCAACTCGATAGACATAGATGAGCATGATGTTGAAACTCCTTTTAACATAGGGTCGTCATGTCAAACAGTACTACTGGGTGCTGAACCACATTCGGGGCTGATTAACGAACTTAAATACTTCAAATGCTATTTCAAATCTTATCTCTACCTGATCCTCATAAATGCTAGATCTGTTCTAAATAAACTGCCGATGCTCAGAGCACTCACAGTGATATACAAACCCCCTTTAATTGTGATCAGTGAATCCTGGTGTAATTCGAACATACTGGATGAAGAGATAAGCTTAGATAACTACACACACTTTCGGTGTGACAGGGAAGGTGGCAAGGGAGGGAATTGCCTCTTGTACTTTCTGAATGCACTTACTGTATCACGGCTAGAAAGTAGTACACTTAACATGCCTGAGACTTTATGGGTTAACTTACACTTAAATAACGCAATAGTATTAATCGGATGCACCTACAGAGCACCTGGCACCTTTAGTAATTACGAGACCCAACTTATTAATACTCTGGAACAATTATCCACCCTACACTACGATCATAAGATCCTATGTGGAGACTTTAACCAACCTGAAATCAACTGGGAAATACCCACAGGCCCAACTAAATTTGATAAGTTCCTAGGCACACTGGATATACCTGGCTGGAAACAAACTGTCACTACCCCTACAAGAGGTAATAACGTACTAGACTTAATCTTCTGCCACAATATAAGTCCCCTTTCTACCCTAGTAGGTTCTGAGTTTTCAGGGTGTGACCACAAAACAGTGCTGTGTGCACTGCCACTTCCGTCAAGTAGCAATGCAACCCATACCCCTACTTCACAACAAATAACTTACAAGAACTACAGTAAGGCAGACTGGACTCTAGTGAGATCAATGTTAAGATCCTCAGAATGGAGAGAGTACTTCTATACTGATAGCCTCTCGAAAGCTCTAGACATCTTTTACTACAACTTCAACACATGCTTAGATGCTGTCATCCCACTTCAAACAATAAGGTTTTCCCCACATAGAAAGTCATTCATAAAGCCAAAGGATCGTAGGAAACTGAAGAGACTGTCAACAAGTTACTTCAGGCGACACGACTTTAGTACACCAGGGTCAATACTTAGTACTCTTAGCTCCATCTCGCAAGCTCATAACTTGCGTATGAGAAATGAAGAATGCACCGCACTAGCCAGCACCACCAGAGTAGGTGCTCTCACAGAAATCCTAAAGAAACGAATGAATCGCCAAAGTCATAAAATTTCTCTGCTTATAAACAAGGGCAAACTATACAGCAACCATGCAGACATGTGTGAACTGTGTAACGAGACGTTTGCAGCTAACTACCTTAAGCTCACAAGTCCACTTCTCAGTTTACAATCTACAATAGAACTCCCTTCATCTTCAACGCTGAAACAAATCAGTACACTTCGTTTCACTTATTCTAATATTAACCAAGCCGTTAATACTCTTAAAAGCTCTAGTAGTGCCGGTTTTGACGGTATACCATCGTATCTTTATAAACACGGTGGTTCTGACATTTCCGTTTTATTACTTAAGATTTTTACAATGTCCCTAGAAAGCCAAACCTATCCAGATAAATGGAAAACCACATTTATAGTACCCAAACACAAATCCGGATCAAAAACTGAAGTCAACAACTATAGGCCAATCAATATTACACCCATAGTATCTAGAATCATTGAAAGAATAGTTAAAGATGATATCCTCAAACGTATGCTGAGCTGCAATATTCTAAGTCCAAACCAACATGGATTCCTAAAATCCAGATCATGCGTGACATGTCACCTTGACTTCTTTAACTATATCACTAGCAGACGAGACAAACAACAACTAGTACTAGTCATCTACTTCGACATTTCCAAAGCCTTTGACCGCGTTGACCATTTGCTTCTAATAAATAAGCTGAACTCTTTAGGAATAAGTAACCCATTATTAGGATGGATTGAATCATTCCTTAACAATAGGTCCCAAGTAGTTAGACTGGGTTCTGTAAACTCTAAACCTAGTCCAGTCACTTCTGGAGTAGTTCAAGGTAGCGTCTTAGGCCCCCTCCTATTCACTCTATATGTCAACGACATATGCAGCTGTTTCTCACTTGGCAAACCATTTATCTTCGCAGATGATCTTAAAGTAGCTTACACATTCCACTGTGATGACTTAGGATACTTTCAGAAAGCTGTTCAGGAAGAACTAGATCGAGTAACTGCATGGTCCTCCACATGGAACCTAAAATTCAACCTTAAAAAATGTGGTTGGATCTGTTTCGGTGCACCCTCAATAAACGTTAAACTGGTACTTGAATCTCTTGACTTGCCTAAACTCCAAAGTGTTGCTGACCTAGGACTCAGGTACTCTAGTGACCTGACATTCTCTGAGCAAGTGGCGACACAGACGCGTAAATCGAGGATGCACTTAGGATGCATACTCAGGAATTTCCACAACTATGAAGCGAAACTATTATTTTATAAAACTTGTGTCAGACCACTACTTGAATATTGTCCATTTATTCTCAGCAGCACTCGCGTAAGTGACAAACTTAAAATAGAAAGTGTCCAACGATACTTCACGTCTAAACTACTAGGATTTGACTGCGAAAAGGACTACACATCAAGGTGTATAACTCTAGGTATCGACCCACTCTGGATGAGACGACTGAGCATTAACCTAACATTCTTCTTTAAAGTCTTGCATAAAATATTATTCTCAGACAGCAAGGAGATACAGTTCTCACCGGAAGGCTCTTACAACCTTCGTAACCAAACGTGCACAGTATCTAGGAAAAACTGTAAGACAGCACTCCGTGCAAACTTCTTCATAGTCATGTACTCTAAGATCTGGAACAGTTCACCCCTAGAAATAAGGACCTGTCACTCTATTATACATGCACTTAAAAAAATTAAATTAGATGTATATTTTTTTCGATGTTATAAACTTTACATTATTTTACTGTTACGTAGATGCACATCAGTTTTTGAAATCGCCGATTTGGTACATTTTCCTCAACAAGGTTCTTAGCATTCTTGTTTTCTTTTCCAGGTGCAACGGGCACTGGACAGGAAACAAACGAAGCACGGGATCCAACGAACAACATCGAGGAAGCTATGTACAGACACCCTATTAGCATAGACAGACAGACCAGTAGGCCCTCCATCAAGCCGCTCGGAAGATTTCTTTCACCCATAAGGGAACCATCGAGATTTTTTTACTTCCAGCTGGTCATGTCTTAGGGTCCTCACAACCCCACTAGGGTGGGAGTGAGCTGTAGCGGTAAATAATTCCCCAAAATTATTGACCACAGCAATCATCTCTCAACATTGGATGCTGGCCCTCACTGTTTAAGTCGACTTGTTTAGCTGAAGGCTTCCGGTCAAGCATCCCAGCCATTTGGTACTTCGTCGTGTCACGTGCGTGCACGATCACTAGCCAGCTAAGCATTCACTTCAGCCCGCGATTTGGTTCCGAAATATATATGTTACTTTGGACGACTAAATCTGGTCTTTTGCTTTACCATTTGGTACTCGAAGAACGAACACTATAGAAGTTGTTGGTATAAGATCTTGCGTTAGTATAATCCGTACAACTCGCGAACGTCGATACCCGCAGTCTCTAAACTATCAATCACGTCGGGCTCACCAGTTTGATATAACATACATACACATATTTACATATATATTTCAACTTCAAATTCAATTGACTGTCTGTTTTCACGTTTTCTTTATTTCTTTTTCTGCCTTTTAGTCTGAATAAGCTACACTAATTATATCTGTCATCATTATTATTATTATTATTATCTCTTTTCTTCTGACGACGGTACCGGAGGACTAACTGGTGAAAGAACCAACTGCATTCACAGTATTCTTAACACACCGCACACTACAAACAACATATAATTAATCCCAGCACTACTCCTTTTGGTGTCATCCAAAGCTACGACAGTCGAGTGGCGGGACGAACTACGCAGAAGTTTACCGAATACCAGGGACGTTCACCTCACAATCAGGAGGCGAGCACAAAGCAATAAAATTGGTTTATACTAGCTCGTAAAAGCGATATTGGATATTGGATTGTTATACAATTATTATCATCAGTAATAGTAACTAGCTTCATTTAATTCTCTCAGGAGTTCTGGGAGAGGAAGCCGTGTAGGAGATAAAGGATGACTTTGTGCAGCTTTTGCTTAAAGTTAAAAAACGACACTCCTTCCTATCGGAACATTGTGTACATCCCTTGTTTGAAACAAGTCTTTGTTTAGCTAGTCTGTTCAAGTTTTTGAAAGTACGCTTCGTATCGCGGTAAGTAGAGTGTGCGCGTTTTAGGTCGCATATTGAATTCTCATTCTCTGTGGTTTCTCGGCTGCTATCATCATAGTTATTCGTCACATCTTTTGAAGCCTGCACAAGGTCCACATCGCCTTTCAAAACAGCCGTAACAATAAGTGTGACAAACCTACAGCTAAGGATCATTGAAGTATGCTTTATACCCTAATACTCATTACGATAACATATATTTGTGGTCAGTGGGCTGTAAATTCTCCACAGTTATCCCAATACTCGAACAATTAATTATTTTTAATAACTGCGGTGCGTTGTTTGAGTTGTGAATCGGTGGTTCAGCGGTAGAGCGCTGGCCGACCGTGAAAGTGGTCCGGGTTTCGAGTCCCGACCGAAGCACACCTTTACCTCCCTTAGCCGGTTACAATCCCGACAAAGAGGAAAGCTTGTGAGTGAGGCTAGCAACCCCACCTCGTGAAGAGAAAACCACTGCTACTGAAACTTCAAAGCACTAGCTTGAAGCCCTATGTTCCACTGGGAATGCAAGGGAACAGAACAAGTTGTTTGAGTAACTGTTATTGCTTCAGTTTCCTCTGTGATAGTTTGTGAATTTACTGGATCTAGAACTGCGTCCGCCACAAACCATCGTGCTGTAAAGACGATGCTGTTTACCGTTCCAGCAGCTGTCAGCCTGACAACTCTGCACCAGCTAGTTATACCTAATAGGTTTGATATTCGCTGGGTGCAGTGTTGTGTAGTTAAATCTTTACCTACAGCACGTGAACGTAATATCATTTGGGGTCGCTGATAGATTACGTCCACGTGTATATGCGTGTCGACCAACTACGCCCAAGAATTGCTTGGTAGGCATGATTTTGACATATACGTGCAACTATCGCTACACCCATATTAGCTGATATATTTAGCCTGGAAAATGTTGTAGACTGTTGATTGTACAGTCCTTGGAGGTGGTCTGCCTAGCACCGCGTTTGTTCCTCATGTTTGGCAGTAAGGTCTCGTTTACCACTAATCACTAGCTTACTTTTTATTGGACTCTGTGTGTGTGATTATGAGTTTGTGTGGTCACTTGTTTTTCCTCTGTCGCTCAGCTTTTACTTACATGAATTTGTTCTTTAACTTTTTTCGTTCTTTTCGAAAGATGAGACGTCGATCATCTTGTGGTTCATCAACTCGAAATGCTGTTCAAGTTAGAAGAAGCAGAAGATCTAATTTGGCTAGTGTGGAGTATTTTCCTCGTTCATTGAGGCTACGACGACAAACTAGTACGGCGACTACTACTACCGCTACTGGTACCACCAGAAATTCCACGACGCCGAATAACACTATTTTGAATGAACGTCGTTACCGCCTGCGTAAAGTGATTCGACAGGTGTACACTTATGTATGTTTTAGTAATCGAGTGGACAAATGGAAACATGTACATGATTGTTTAACAAATAATGCCCGCCTGTTATCCAGACAGTTGTCTACGCCTGCTGTGCGCTCGATGCCTGCCACCGATGATGGTCATAACGATATATCCTGTGGGTTAGAATCTTCTCCGATGGTTGCTAACAATATTGGTAATCCAGTCTCTCTGGCCGATCCGATCCAAATTCCATACGTCTTTGATCATCGTAGTTCATATGGTATAGAAATCAACGGTGAAATTCATCATACGAGTGTTGTAATGATCCCTCATGTAGATCCACTACCGAGCTTTACTATGTGGTCAAAAGTACAGCAAAATTTCTCTGTAGAAGATGAAACAGAGTTGACTAACTTGCCGTATATTGGAGAGGTGCAGGCTCGAGAGGATATGGATTTTTTTGAAGAGCTGTTGACCAATTATGGTGGTCGTTTGCATGGGAGCTTCCCATTTGAATTTGATGAGTCTCTGCTTGTGCAGCTGGTTGACTTAACTAATACCGTTTGGTCAGAAATTATTTCGTATTGTGGTTTATCCATCGATGGAGAATCACCTGTGTCGGCGAAAGCTATTGAACATGCAAATGATGGGGAAGGCGAAACACAAGAGAATAATGACAATAATGTTGTCTGTGCTGGGTCAAGTCGGTCTCTGCGTGAATCTAATGATAAACGCCTAGTAATGAAGGGATTGAAACCAGATAAAAAGAAGGAAAGAGAATATGCAAAGCAAGAGGATGTATTGATTCCTAAAGGGGGTCGTTTAACTCGTCGATCTGCACAAATTGAAATTAAGGATAGTATTGTTGTTCATGCTAGTGATAGCGATAATGAGGTAAGCAGGATTGTTCTACAGTGTCAGTTATTGTGCACTTGACTGTTTATTCGTCTGAGTTGAGACAAACTGGCTACACAAATGCATTCCTACAGGAAGTTGTGCTGCTGAGTATGTCATTTTTAACTTTGCACATTTATGCATATATTTCACATTTCATTCGACTACACAGTTTTCAGGCTTTGTTGCAAGATGACAGGTGTTAATGTTTTACTGGTCAAGTTCAGGTAGATGAGGGTATAGTGTGGTTTAAATTACAATGGATTATGACTGAGTTGCATCGCTATGATAGATATTTAGTTGCCAGTCAATTGTCAGGAATCGCAAACAATAATAATAATAATGAAAATAATGATAATAGTGATGGGAACAGTTATGACAATGGCACTGACGAAAGATAGTTTAAGATGAGTCAAGAACAGTAATAAGAGATGGAATAAAATATTAATAATAGTGCCAGTTGTTGGGCAACAGGTATTGCCTGTGTAGGTTCAAATTGATCACTATTTCCTTCTGTAGACAAGGACCGGGTTTATGCCCTCTAATTGTACAAGCCTCTGCAAGTGCAGGCATCCTTCCGTTTGTTCGCCTTCCGACGACAGTGAATGATTCGATAGAGTCAATACCGTGTCCATAGTTTGAGATGCATCCTTCCGTACAACCTAACCATTTGTTTCCATAAACACACTCCATTTGATATGTACAGTTGGAAGTGTTGAGGATTAGCAATCGGTCTTTCCCAGATTGTTGAAGCACTGGTTTGGCGGTGTTAAGGAATACAAGCTTTGTAGCATTATAAGTTGCTCCAGTACCCTCATCAAGTCTTCGCTCAACTGCTACTTGTATATCAGCTCCCCTAAATGTGAGACTGATACATATACAGCTGCATTTCGAACTGTGTGGGTTGTTTTACGGGCTGCTATTTCTTTATCTTTAGAATACTTATTGCTGAATCCCTCAAGATATCCATTCGCAGGTAAAATATCCTTTAGGGTTATTCTTTCATATTGGATTGTACTGTGAGAAGAGATATTGCTTGCTGCATTGGACGATGTTTTGACTAGGTTCTTTTGATGCTGTATGGGAAGAAGGCTCTTAACGTGTATATCGTGTCCCGTGCGTACAGACCTTCTGAATATGGGTCTTTCTATTGTGCTCTCAGTCGTTTTCACCAGAGAAACACCTAAGAATGTAATGGCATCATCTCCCTCATGTTCTATTACGGAGTTAAGATCAGGATGACATGAGTTGGATTTCATCAATAAATTTCTTTTCCACCTCTGATTTACCTTCACAGGCAACAAAAGTAATCTACATATGTTAGATATAATTGAGTCTGTTGTATGGTATGTGTATTCAGTGATCATTAATAGTACCATGTTCTGTAATTGCTTTATTCTAGGTGACTGTGAGTGGTGAAGAGGAGAATAAAAGTGAAGGGAATATGATAACAGTGAAAGAAGTGTTCCAAATTGGTGAATCGACTGCAGCAGACTTGAGTCTCAATCCACCCGAAGCGAAGCGTTTTAAAGATTGTGGAATCCCTTATGAAGTGTTTATTGTGAGTTGTCTGTTGATATCCTTTGCGATTGTCTTTAAAAGATTTTCCTAATAATTTTGATCCATTTGGTGTTAGGTGGTAGACCCGGACATCTAGGCTCCATGCTTGTTGGCACTCGTTGTCAACGCTGAAGAGACTACTGTCCGCTCGGACATTCAAACTTGTGTCAACAGGTGCTGGAGTGACGAACGTTACCACTGAGCCATTCACGACGATTGACGTGTAGGTCTGCAATGGATACATTATCATGCGTGTAGGAAGTTATTTTTGTTGCTGCTGACTGAATTCTGTCAGTCAAGTGATCATCAAATTTGGTGAGGTGACTTGCCATCGCAGTGTACTTTGAATATTGGTGCTGGTTTGATCACGACTGCGGTTTGTTACCGAAAGCTATTGTTTCATCTTCCCTTTCTGAACGTTAGTTCTTTTCCGTTGTAAACCGCTCAGTGTTTTTCACAAGCAATCGACATAATTGAGTCGAGTAGGGGCGCAATCGTGTCATTGAATCACCAACATTCTCTGTGATGAACTGGATGTGACCACTCGTAAGTTGGGAGGACACTCACGTTGTACATTTCATTACCAGTCGGCAACATCGAATAAATAGAAGCTGTGGATCATTGGTCTGGGCTCTTGACTACCAACCACTAGGTTACTGGTTCTAGTTCTGCCTATCTTCCCCTCGTGATTTGGACAGCTATGTAGTATATCACGACCCCACGCACGATAAGTTTAGCTCCATTGATAATTGCATGGGGTAAATACAAGTGGTTGTTGGGATCTGGTCTCTCTCCCACCCTCTATATATCTGTGTGTGTGTGTGTGTGTGTGGTTAAAATGACCGATTTCTTCAGGTTGTAATCAGAGCTACTCAGCCGTCTCGTAAAAGCCATATACTTATTGTTGTCGGTTTCAGTGACTTCCCGCCAACTTTCCTACATCGCTCTGTTTATTCTGTTATGCCTGTGCGTGTCTATATGTGTGTATTTTAGAATATGCAGGGCTGTTCTCAGTATCCAATTACTCTGTCTATCGATTCCCACGTCTTTGCCTGGTTACTAATATTTCCTTGGGTTTCCGAGTAGAGCATTGGGCTTCACCCTGTTCTCTGACTTGACATTGTTGTTGAAAATTCGTTTGTTGTTCCTTGTAATGGGTGTTGTGGAGGTGCATATTGTTTTCTAAGTAATGAACACCCATCTTGCTTTTGCGATCCTGGCAGACTTAATCATCCTTATCGAGGGCAACTGTAGTTGGAACGATGCTGCACATATAAGTAAGTGAAGGAGACGACTTTCTCCATATTTCTGCTATCTGTAGTGAATGATGCTTGTTGTTGTTTGTTGTGTATCTTTATCACCTCTTTCCTCTCTATGTTCACCTGAAGTCATGTCTTCGCTACCTTTTTCTGCCAACTGGTTTTCAACTGGCTGGTTTTCACATGTAGATGTTTGAGTTTGTGTTTGACATTGAACATGAATCATGCTGAAAGTTCCAGTTTTCCTTGCTTGATATGTCTGTTTTATTATTATCAGTATGGGATGACATATATGCATCCACTTCCGTCCATCGGATGAACACATCACTAATATTACAGTTGTTTTGAGTGCAGACAGTGTTTCATGGGTGGTTTTAAAAGTGTTTAACGGAGTTTTATACTACACAGCTGTGATATCTATTGTGATGCTTTGTTATACACACATACCCTAAGCTTAATCTGCTTCGATTACTTTTATCCTCACCAATTGTTTAACAAGACCTTAAGGTTAAAAGGTAGTACTACAGTCGTTGCAGTCTCAATGCTGTTGTATTTCTATAATGTTGAGTCACTTTTGTTTTTGTTTCTTCATAGGCGATAGCTGGAACATTCGGTTCTACAGATAATGCAAATAAACTTCAACAGAGGTATGTAGAAATGAAGGGACGTGCAAATAATCCTCAGGTATGTTTGATTAAACGACGGCCAATACCGCTTCGCACATGTTGATGTGTATGTGTGTGTGTATTTGTGAATACTTGTGAAAATAGCATGACTATATTTTTTGTGAGTAGAGATATTGAATGCAAAATCCTAGCCAGAGTTGGCGCTGAAAATGTCATCCAGTCTGATATTGGGGCGTCCACTGGGGATAGTGTCGAAGTTGTGTAACCGGAAAGCTGGAGGAGTGATATTTATATATTTTTTAAAATATTTTTGATTACAGCTTGATTCCACACCGTATTTTAGTACAAGTATGGAATTTTCAGCATGGATATCGGTAGCCCAAATTTACAGGCCGACCATAGATATTGGGTGTGCGTCGGCAGGGGATCGAACCCTGGACCATGTTCATTGTCGGCAAGAGTCCTAACCACTATGCCACCGATGCTGATTGGTGCAAGCACTGGACAGACTGTAAGTCAGTGGGTTTCTAGCTCAAGCTCCACCTTGTGTACATCAACCTGGTTAGCAGTACCGTTGACTTTCACGCAGACAATACTCGTGGTACATGGGAGATTTGTTACGGATAATCATTTCAAAGACTGTAGTTGAGGTGGATTATTCTTTTGTTTTGATTTGGTTGTGTTCTCGAAGCTGATTGGTTTTTGCTATTGCGGGGTTTTCGTTATCCTTCTAGACAAAATCTTCAGCACAAGATTTGATGTGGAGTGAATTTATATAAATTCTCCATGAAAAATTCCAATACGCCAGTAGTAAGCCCGGTGAAGAGGAAAGGTTAGGCGTGAGGCCAGCAACCTGACAGTGTAAATTAGGAGTAGTGCTACTGCTACTGAAACTCCTAAGCTCAAAGCCCTATGGTCGACTCGGAATGCAGGGGAATAAAATAATTTAGAAAAATGGAGATCGGAAGTTTCGCAAATAAATCAACCAGTCCAGAGAAGACAGTGAGATCGAAATGAACATTGGGGACGCGTTGTGATGGAACATGCTACTGATTAATTGATATGAGTAACTGGAAAACAATTCATACAATCCAGTAGTAGTGTGTGTTACCTAGCCAGATCCAAGTTATCACACCTGAGGTTCTCAGTGGTAACACGTCATTGAAGGCGACTGCTGGTAGGTACATCCGGCCGACGAGTCCCAAACAGGGCAAGACACGCCTCCCGGATTCCACTGGTAGTTACGATGCACTAAATAACTTTATTCAGTAGTAATGACAAGACCCCGAGTGGCGACATCAAAATCGTAATGGGTGATATAATATATATATGCGTGTATCCATGCAAGCCAAACTAGGAGAAGACAACACAGCAAGGGAACTCAGGATCTAGACGAAGTGAATGAGAACGGAGGACTGTCTGGTGACCTTGGAGCACACAATGACTCGTTGATTGGAGGCAGCGTGTACACGAACAAGCCCTCGGTGTTCACTGAAGGTCAGATGGCCAGCCGGGAGGAACACGCAACGAGGACCTTTAGCGGCACACCAACCGAAAGCAAAACATATGTAGAAGGAAGTGGAGATGGGTTGGATACACACTGAGGAGACCGTTGAGGGATATCACGTGCCAGACAAACCCTCGAGGAGAAGCCAAATGAGGAAGCGACGAGTTGGTTGTGGGTGCGAGAGTGACATGGAGAAGATCATGTGAAGCGGAGGAAATGAAAGCATATGGGCGATTGTGGAACCAGTTAAATAGAGACTGCAGAGAACAGAATGAAATATAGTTGTGCTCCTGCTGAAGCCTTCCGGTAGAGTAACCAGTCCCGTTACTCAGAACAAAGCCGTCGTGAGAATAGTCGGAAGTCAACAGGCACAAAATAAAGTGGAAACCTATTTTTCCGCATCATTGTTTGATTTATCTCTGTTCGAATATTCTGTATTTCCTTGAGCGGTGTTGGAGTACAGGGAGTGACAGGATTTCAGTGCTTTTTAATATTATTAGTGATATCAGTTGTCCATAAATTTTGCTAATAATTTGTGTACGTGTGGGCTTTTGTTCTTTCTCCTGTTGTAGTTAAATGAAGAAACATCAACATTATTTCCAAATTTAGATAACCCCTTTGAGGTGCACAGGGCTGTCACCAGTGGTCGACGCAAAGTCCTATCACGAGCTGATGCTTTACATTCATATAGGACATTATTTTGTCGTCGGTGTTTTAAGTACGACTGTTCTTTGCATCCGTATAAGTCCACTCCGTCGATGTGGAGTCATCGTTGGCCGATCGATACCACGAAAGATGCCGGTTAGTTAATTCAATTTTAACAGTGTCACTTGAATTGCTGCTCTGCTTCTGCCTAGCCGAGCTGTATATGCATATTACCATTGACAATTTAAACAAATACGTATTTTCGGTAGTTTTTCATCAGGCTTTACAATAAGATAATAAAGTGTTCATCATAGATAGACATCTGAAGCCGATGTGATTAATAGAATAAAAGTATCGATGATGATTGACAAACAGAGAGAAATATCTGCAATCTGTGCAGAAGGAATGTTTATATTTGACTTTACTGTTCAAAGGAGATGTAGCTACTGAATTGTTGGCATTGACCGATTGTTTATCGCGACACTGTTTGAAGTTCACTACTCGCTGTATAACTCGACTGCAGGTGAAGGATAAGCTACCGAGTGTGACCACTTCAATGTGCATTTCTAGGTGTAACTGTCCTTGTGGAGACAGATACATAGGTAGAACGACTCGGAGAGCCCACCGTCGCCACCTTGAGTATTGTCAGACGTGGTTAGGAAAAGGAGTTGTTAAGTTAGTCAGGAGTTCCATATTGACACATCTAGAGCATACGGAGAATAAGATTGATAAAAAGCATTCAGCCTTTAGAATTCTTTACAAGGTGTCACCTGAATTCCCTAGGTTCGTACGCTTTCGATTGCTAAGCATAGCTGAGTCAGTCTCCATAATGAGTTTTCATCCTAATCTTTGTGTTCAGAATAAGTATGTTCAATCTCTCTCCTTCCTGTGGTTTTCACCCCCAACCTAGAATAGTTGCGGGATATCTGTAAATATAATTTTAATTTGTACTGCTAACTAACTTTGTTATCTAATTATGTTGTGCTATGGTTGCATATCTTAGTCTTAGTTTTCCGATCTATCATTACTATTATTATTGATATGTTGTCTAATCGCTATGAGACAACTGTTATTTCCCCCTGTACCCCTACAAGTACGCACATTAACGACAATTGACTGCCCAGATTATATAAGCACTTGAATCAATTTATCCTTGTTTATATTATTATTTTTATTGTTGTGATCACCTCGATTGTTAACCCCCAATTCACATGCCTAAGTTTCAATTCTATTAACCTGATTATGTTCAAATGTGTATGATTGATGTTTTATTATGTAATTGTAAAGCCTGATAAGAAATTGCTGAGAATACATATTTACTCAAATTGCGTCCTACAATTGTCATCCTTGGGCTATTTAGGTTATTCACTGTTCAGTAGATTTACTATTACTTGTGAGATCGATTCCTTAGTTTAGCTTGCTTAGTAGGGCTTTTTCAGGTACATAGACACATACACACTGTGTAAGAATACTACTTACTGGAGTGATGTCTTGGTCGTAATTTACTATTGTTCATAATCATAACACCAAATGTAGCTCTACATTTCCTCGGGTTTTGTAATTCTCGCTCTTCCTTCGCATTATTTGTAGGGGTAATAGTAGAATTTTCTAGATGTCCGGATGGACGGCTGGTGTTGATTCATTCAGACATGATGATTGATTCTTATTGCATGTATGACTCGATAAATATGGCTTCAGTTATCGATATCTATCTGACTGTCATCTTCTGCCACCCTATGCTGTGGTGGTGTGTAACTATATACAGTGCTATGGTTGAGCTCCTTTCTAGATTTCGTATCTTGCGGTAGGTGAGACAGATAAAGCATTAGTGTTGCTTGACCGCATCACACCCCTGGGTCGACTGCTTGAAGTTGGCTACACACACATATGGCTTGTTTAAAGTTGTGTCCTTAAAAAGGTTTTAAGGGTGGCTGAGGATCGAGGCCAGGTAAGTCGGTATGTACAATTTTCAGGACGACCTTTTCTAAGCCACACCCCTCCACTGAAGATCGGAGAGACAGCATACCTGGCTTCCTGGTTATCTGGAGTAAACAGTCTACTCCTGTTACATACCCGTATTCGCCAGCAGTACGACTTCGCCCACAGACCACCAGCATAGTTTAGACGACTTAGACTAAGTGATGGTAACTGCCTTTGGTATATGTGCTATCGAAACGAGGTTTCTTGTATATAGTAGGGCCTACAGGGAAATTAGTTCCATCTGGTCTATTTATTGCTCGTAGAGTCATTGTGATGTGCGATCCTGACCAGTTGTCAGTCATGATGTCTGTGTGAAACTAAGCCTATCCTAAACGTTAACCTTAACTCCAGACATTAGAAGTGGATAAAGTGGATCTGCGAGAAACTCTTGAAGCAAACCTTACACTGTGTTGATGACTAGTGTAAGATGATTGTTATTGTTGTTTACTCGACTTCGTTTTGGTGGCTGGTTTAGTTTATCCTCACTCGTAGTATGTTACATCCTGATTTAGCAAGTTCTATTCCCGAATTGTTGATATTCTTTCGTAAGATTTCAGAGGTTCCATGTTCTCATTTGCATAGGTGGCACTAGTAGTGTTTTGAATTCCCTCTTCTTGGTGTATTGTCAGTATAGGTATGTCACCTATTGATGGTCGTATTTTGATAATCTCCCACATGCTTCCTGTCATAGATATACTTCTGTGTTATTTAGCTTGTTTTTCCCCATGATTTGAACATTTTTGCAATAAATCTTATGGAAAACAGAGTATCAGAGTTACCTAGCTACAAATTGGATGTGAATTTTGAGGAGAATGTGAGTATATGGTATGTTGTTTAAAATATTTGTCAATAGATCTGTGTGGCTCATTGATGTAGGCTATCGACTACTAACCAATGGGTCACGGTTTGGAGTCGGCACTCCACCAACTGAGAGTGGTTTGGACAGCTGGGTGTTAGTGTCATTAGCCCTGACACATTGAAACTGGTGCCTATCGCTACAGTAAGCCATAATCTAAATAACACTGATAACTAATAATTGATTGTTGTGGTGAACATGCCTCCTGGGACTTGATTCACGTTTCCGTTCATTTCTTTCTTTTTTTCTTTTCTTTCTAGAAACAAACGCCCCATATTGTGGTTCATGGTGTGTCCGTAAGTCGGTGAACCATACCGCTGGACAGGACTCAATGAATAATCATAATAGTAATAATAATAATAGCAATGATGATAATAAAGGCGAAGCAATACGAGGAACTAGCAACGTGGAATGGAATCCTGAAGAAAAATGTCTATATGAAGTATTAGCTCCATTGTTTATCCCCTACGGGCATCCATCTTTTAATTTGTACAACTGGTGTTGTAAAATGTCGAAATTACTTGGGACGAAGAAGTGTTCTGATGTAAGTTTTTCACGCTTTAGTGTTTTCTGTTAAGTGTGTGATCGCTTTTGAACGCTTGCTTTTATCTTTTGAAGTGTGCTGACGTCATAGTTGTGGTTGTTACTGACCTGTATCTACCCACTGAATCATAGGTACTTTGGCTATTGTGGTTTTGAATAGGCTGGTAATACCGGTTCCGTTGAATTGACAAATTTATTGAAATAGCTTATTTTCGAATGGAAATAGTCTGCAGAAGGATTGACGATTCTGTTCATTTCATATCAGTGTAGAGGCGATAACGAGGAACTACTCGGAATGAGAAATATTTCCTCGCTCAGTTTGTCGTCATTTCTATTGATTTTGTCACAATATTAGTAGACCGTCGAGTGACACTTGAATAATTGGGAAAGGCGAGTGGGGCGTTATCCCGAGTCGTCGGTGACATGGGGGTGGAGGGTGGAGATCCTACCAGGTGGAAATGAAAATTGTGAGCAGTTGTTGTACCAACTCGGATTGATATCTGAGAGCATAGTCCAAAGGAAGTGTTATGGTGAAAGACGGCTCCCTAAGTTTCACTAGGAACGCAACTAACGACTAACAATAATAGTAATAGTAATAATAATCACAATAACAATGTAACAGGTTTCTAGTGAATAGATCAAACTTTCAAATTTCATGGCTCTCATCGTTTAAATCTTAACTTTTCAACTGGTTAACCAAGCGGACTGTTGTCCTGAAATACACCTGTGAATGAAAGTCTCATATAAACTGACTGCAAAGTCGTAATTTTATCCTTGTGTTGCCTCTTTTTCACACACATGTTGAATTATTACCGTTATTACTGCTGTTATTATTATTATTATTATTATTATTATTATTATTATTATTATTATTATTATTATTAATACGATGACGATGATGATGATGATTTAGGTGTTGGCATATACAAGTACACAGAATCTATCGACACTTCTACTCCCAGATGCTGGTCAGTTGAGTTCATTACGTATACCGGGTACTGGTGAAGTATGGGGTCGACGGTCAGGTAGTATAGCGTCGTTAAATGATAATGACTGCACCGGATCAGGATCATGTAGTGGAAGTGTTCATGATGATGGAGGATTTGGTGATGAGGTGTTTGTGGCGAATGAATCAAGTAGTTCTAATGTTTTAACAACAAATCTTCGTAAACGATCGAAAAAGCGTGTTAAAAAGAGCATGAAATTGGAATTGCCAACTCCTTGTGAAGGTAGGTGGTTGAACTCTTCTCTCTTTTTTGTTTGTGGACCAGCTTCGATTGTTGTATGAGTGAGTGAACGGGATTTGAGGGTCTGTATGGATCGCCTTACAATGGGTTGGTTGTTCAACTGTGTTCACGAGATGAGTCATTTGGCGTTGCTAGTGGTGTGTGTGTGTGTGTGTGGGAGAGGGAGAGAGAGAGAGGTGATGATGCTACCCACTTCACTTCCACAGGGTTTTGAAGTAGGGTAGACCTGGATTCGCAGTTGGGACCCCATTAGATGAAAGATGAGTGTTAACCCATTGAACCACATTCTTGTGGTGCACCACTGAACCATTTTGTTTTGGTGAGACATTATGTTGTAAGATAATAAAGGTCTCTATAGTAAAACTTGGAACAACAGATGTAAGCGAACACTATACCACCATAAATTTTTGCAAATAAATAGATTGTAAAGTCAATGTGTCATAGAACATTTCTCTGAGTGGAGAAGACGAAAGCATTCTAGTTGATTCATCACATCACATCACATCGCATGGTATCTCGAACCCCCATCCCATCGAAACTTTACAGTTGGCTCCGTATTCGTGTATTGCACGTAGCTGAGACTATTGGCATTTGAAGTACTAAGGCTAAACTATGCATTCAGACGAAATTCGTCTGGAAATCTTTCAAACGCGAACGCGACTTACATGTAGTGTTTAGTTCGCATGGTTCCACTATCATAATTGCCACAGAAGTTGGAATTAAATCGAACGTTAAATACCTTCGACAATGCATTTCCTCTGATCACCTTTCCTAGTCTTCCCACATGATGTTAGTTTCCAGAAAGAAATTTCGTTTGACTTTCTTCTACGTGAGGAAGAAGTTCGGACGATCTGGTATCGTTCCGTGCCTACTTTCTAAATCTGTTAATTCTCGTAGTCTGTCTACCCTTCTTTACTGTCCTCATTAAAACTTTCTTGGGCTACTTAAGAAAGACTTTTTTGTAATGGTGTGAGGGGCACTAGAAGCCGTCAGTAGAGCCAGTGGGGTGTCGCTAAACCAACTCGTTAATACTATTGTGGATAGCTACATGAACTGTTGCAAGAAATTAGCAAATATTGGCAGCAAATATCTTGTCAGACTCTGAGCATCCTCTCCATACACAGTTGTGTCCTTTCATCTCATTGGGGGTAGAACTAGAAGCAACTATAGTAGACTGTGTACTCGGACGACTAAGTAGACAAACTCTCCAATACCTTATTTAGCAGACATGCTATGTGATGATAAAGGTTTAAGGTAGAAGATAATCAAAAACTTATTGTGGAATTCTAAGTGAACGGCCCTATCTTTTTCATTGTTAAGTGGTTGTTAATATTTTCACTTAATTTGATATTCATTTTCTTATTGAACAATGTTGTCGATGTAAATACCCTGTTTTGATTATTACTCCTGTAATGAGAAGGTTAGATGCAATACTGTACTACATACTGAAAATTTCCATATTTGTACGAAGAGTACTGTTTGGAATAAAGCTATCATTATTATTATTATTATTATCGCTATCATTATTATTATCACTATCATTATTATTATTGTTATTGTTGTTATTGTTATATAGTTCATTTACTTGCCTGGATAGCATCAGTTTCTGTTGTGTCGTTGGAATTTGTTTGCTACTGCATCTGTGTGTCAGTGGTTGAGTAGTAGAATGCTTTCCAGTGATACTCACGTGGCCTGTGTTTTGTTCCTGGTCATCGAGGCACTTGAAAGCCTCGTCTAGTTGTTTACTACTACTGGTGAAGGTAGTGAGTCCGTAAAGGAGGAGAAATGGTTAGACGTGAGACTAGAAAGTGCACGCACCTTTTAAAAACAATAACACCACTTTCTATATTTCACTTGGAAGCAAAATGGAATGAAAGTGGAAAAGTAGAAATGCTGCATGTTATCTTTTGTTTTGTTGTTTTTTCCTTTCCCGTTATATACAGACGATGATGAAGACTCGCAAACGAATGGTTCTGTTCAAAACGGTTTGAGGAACACTACCACTAGTAATAAGGATGGCAATGCCACCCTACCGAGTGGTTGTCTCGCGCATCAATATTATCCGTGTGATCATCCTGGAGAACGGTGTAATGATTTGTGTTCATGTAAGAAGGCTGGAACATTTTGTGAGAAATTTTGTCAATGTCCACCTGATTGTACGAATAGGTGAGTGGTTTTTTAACTGGGTTGCTGTTGTTGTTGTTGTTGTTGTCAATTGTAAGCTGTTATTCTATGCTCTGTTCGATGATGATGATGCTTAGAGTTGCTGTTTGAGCCGCACATGATTTGCTTTTCCTGAATCCAGCTTGTCCCGGGGGTGAGAGTTCTCTATCGATAGCAGGTTTTATTCTCTCCAGGATGACACGACTCAATATTCCTCTTGGCGTGGACAAGAGCATGATTCGGTGCCAGTTCTTGCAAAGGCCTAGGTTGCCCCTCTTAGGTTAGGTAGTTTGACGAGGTAGCCTTTCTTCCAATCAGTAGGTGCCTTTCTTTGTTTGCGAACTTTGTGAACTAGTGATGTGAGCATATCCGCTGCCATCTGTGAGTGTGTTTTCTGTGGTTCCGGGTGAAATCTGTCTGGTCCCGCTGCCTTCGCAGCTAGCTTTCACTGTCGTTGGTGGATTGGTGTTCACTGGGAATTCTGTCCCCGCTTTTGGTGATATTCCTCGACAAATTGTAGGTGGTGGTGGTCAGCTAAGGAGTCGTTTGAAGTGATCGGCCGATTGTTTCGTTTTGTTCTTCCTCTTTGGCGATTGGCTTCCCTTGACCATCTTTCCGTGACTTCATTTGTGTTGACTTCCTCCCGGATGGAGACCTGGTTATCTGAAATAATGTTCTGAGATGTGCTTTACCAGAGGCTTGTTGTGTTTCAGTTGCCAGTGTGTCCTAGAATTGTCTTGTGTGGTCTGTAGCACTCTTGTTCACTTCTTTTGTCGGTGCGATGTAGACTGAGCTCAGCCTCTGCATCCTTGTCCATCTTTGCATTGGGTCATGTTCTGCTTCACCATCCTCCTCTTCTCCATTAACTTCCAGGTGACCGTAGAGAGCCATTCGTTGACCTGCCTGTTGTTTTTCTTCGAAATGACTTTACATGTGTCCTTAGACACCACTGTCACAGAGTTCCAACGATCTTCCACACAGGTTTCTTCAGTGGTGATGATGGTGGTGGTGCTACGTGATGTCTCGAACTCTGTTGTGATTGCTGGAGTGGAGGTGTCAATTGTGGTTTCGCCCTTGAGTTTCTGATTGTTGAACTTGAATTGTGGTTTGTCTCTGGTTCTTTCCATGGTTCTCAACTTGACCTTGGAGCTTCCCTGCATTAGATGATAGTCTGAGCCCACATCCTCTCCCCGTTTCCGACTTCTTGTGCAGCAGGCTGCGTCTCCACTCTGTTGTAATTGAGATGGGGTTTGTCTGACTTATGGTGTGTCCATTAGGTTAGGTGAAGTCCATGTCGTTAGCTTTGTGTATGTCCTTGTGCTTGTACATGCGACCTCCAATCACGAAGTTGTCGAACACACGGAAATTTAAGACGGGTTCTCCGTTGTCATTCATTTCACCGAGACCCTCTCCAGCCGTGATGTATTCTCGTCCTGTGTTGTCTGCTTCCAGTTTCGTTTGCGTTCATATGGCCCATTAGGATTTTGTTGTCATCGTTTGGACTGTTATCCAATATTGTTTGCAGTTGTCTATCGAAATCTTCATTCTTCTTCACTGGGTCAGCATTGTTTGTAGGAGCATGGCACTAGATAATTGTAAGTTTGCTTCCTTTTGAGTTGAATCTTGCTGTCATTATTCCGGAGGTGATTGGTTCCCACTGCAGAATAGCTTTGGCTGCTGTTGGTGACATCATGATAGCCACCTTGTCAGTGTTTTCGTGTTTGTCGTGTGGGTGACCGGAGTAGATAACTGACACTCGAGTTAGTAGCCATTTGGAGAGTGGACCTCCATCCCAGCTGCTCTGACAGATTCCTAGTACTTCTGTGCCATGTCTTTTCATTTCTTTTTCATCCTGAGCTGCCTTTCTGGCTTGGAACATCGTGCGTTTATTTCACACTCCGTGCTTATTTTTTCTCTCGTGGAAAGAAGACACTTCGGCTGACTGTCTTCTTGAAGGCTTTTACAAACGGCGTCATCTTGTCTCTCCAGCTTCAGTGAGGAACAAGTTTTATAAGGTTTTCGTTGTTGTTGTTGTTTGAAGTTTCTTTAGCAAGTGAAGAATTGATTTCTCGAGATAGTGTCACTAGCCTGAGAGCCGACCTTCTCTCTGTTCCCGAGCTTAGGAGCGGTTATGGAACTAGAGAGCTAGTAAACTAGGCGAGGTTGTGTACGTGTGAACCCATTTTTTAATATTGTGCAAAGCAATATCACGAATACATGGTGCGGGTTCAAACCGATGCATTGCTTATTTCGTCGGTACCTACCTCATCAACTGTATACTGAAGCTAAGTGACAGAGGAAAGAAGTGAACACTTACAGTGAATGAGAGATGATATGATGGATTAGTGTTAGAAGACGAGTTAGCAAGGTGGAAAAATACTCGCTACAGTTTCTTTTCCAATAGACAAATAGTATTTTAAATTTCATTATTTATATTGTATTCCAGCTGACAGGATATGTACGAGATAAAGGATGGATGAGTTTTATCCTGCATGACGTGTTTGTCAGTGATTTTTTCAAACTCATTATGATGAATTTGTGCATGAGATAGAAATATTGTGTTTGGCTTTTCACTTCAGGTTTCCTGGATGTCGTTGTCGTGCTCATTGTAACACGAAAGCATGCCCGTGTTTTCTGGCAGCAAGGGAATGTGATCCCGACCTGTGTCTGTCATGTGGGGCACAGGCATCGTTTGGATCATTCACTTCAATGGAGGATTTGTTCAACGCTGTTGTAAGAGTTGGTTTTCCAGATTTTAAAGGACCATGTCGAAACGTTGCGATACAGAGAGGCCTACGGAAGCATCTATTGATGGCACCATCTGATGTTTCCGGGTAAGAGTGTTAGTTTTGTTTGTGTTCTCTAATTTCTTGTTGTTGTTACTATTGTTGACCAACTCTCAGTCTTCGACTGAGAAATCCCTTAGCACTACTACACTTAGTTTACCACTGTGAATATGTTGTCTGCATACCCCCGCCGTATTTTGGGGTTGAGTCTGAACGTCTCAGTCACTAAGTTTTCTAATGTATCCACAAATGTACCTGTGACTGTGGGGGATATTGGTGATCCGTCGCCAGTACGCTCAGTTAGTTTGTACACGCCCTTGTAGCTGAAATGATGTAGAAGTCAGATATAGGTGGACTCCTAGTATGATACCTTCTAGTGGTACTTTTGTTGCAATTTGAAGTTTCAGATCCGATATGAGTCTGTTTCTGACCGAATCTGTGACCGTATTTATCGGTATTTGCGTGTATAAACTGATGATGTGGAAACTAACCATCTTTTCATCTTGCCTACGTAATTCTAACTAATCCAGTCTGTGTTTCAGTTCATAAGAATTGGGGAGTCTAGATTTTGAGTGGTTTCCAAATAGGATTTAATGCTGTAGGTAAATATTCAGACAAATGATAAGTAGGAGAATTTCTAAAATGAACTGTGAAGTTAGTGGGATATGCTGGCCTGCGAACTATAGAAATACCATATGTTGTACTGAGGTTGTTAGTCAGCCGCCAGCCAGCCAGCTAGAATTTGAGACCCCGCTGTGTCTATCTTCGAGCTAGGTCGGTACCAGGTGCACTGTTGATGTGGTCAGGCTGGCTGATAAGAGGGATAAACGTCTTTCCGGTGTGTGATTAGATGGGTCACTTTGATCTAACTGACTACCTAGCTAGCTAGCTAGCTAGTTAGCTGGCCAGCAAGCACTACTCATATCAGTAGTTTATGCAGCGTCATACTCAGTGTTCTTGTTTATTGTGTTTCTTACACATACATATTTTTGATAGTTGGGGCATATTTATCAAAGATGGTGCAGATAAGAACGAATTTATCTCTGAATATTGTGGTGAGATCATTAGTCAAGACGAAGCTGATCGACGTGGTAAGTTCTCAAAATCTCTCTGTGTATTATTCTTATTGTTATTACTAATCATTAATAAATCAATAAATAAGTGAATAAATAAATAAATAAGTCAGTAAATAAAAGTGGTAATTTGAAATAAGAGCAGGTTATTATGTTATTATTACTATTATTCCCCTGTCTTCGGGATGGAGCATAGAGTTTCAGTGACAGGCGATCTCCAGCTTACGTCGTCCTCTTCAGTCTTTGTTTAACTGACTCCACAATTGGTCCTTAGCTTTCATTCCTTCCGCCGTGCATGATCTCCTCGACGTACCCTCGAATGCCGAGGCGTCTTTTCCCATTTGGGTCTGACTTGAGCGATGGTGTGATTGGCGCTCATTGCACGGTCTTCTGAGTGTGTATGTCCAGTCCATCCTCGTTTTCTTCTGCATATTTGTTGTCCAGTAGGTTGTTGGTTGGTTCGTTATCTTTCCTTTCTGATTGTCCATCTTATGTTGAGTATCGAGTTAGTGGGAGTAGCGAATGATTTTGAAGTATTCGTCAGTTGTGGTGTTATTCAAGCTCTACTTAGTTGAATATAGCTCAGCGAAATTGTTCTAAGTGTCTGAACATAAAGAGAAGTCGATGGTGATTTATTTCTTGGTCGGGTGTGCGACCTTCTTACGGGGTTGGCAAAAAGCAACAATTAGAGACGTCGTTAACTTTAATTCGACCGCTGCTAACTCTTTTCTAATCTAATTGTATGTTAGCTAGCATTGCACGACAAGGAAGGCATTGATTCAGCATACATGGCATGTATCCTAGCCATGCGAATCCCTGCAGCTCCATAAGGTCATCGATTTATTTTCCATCCTCAGCTGACACCCGTACCTGGCGTCAGTAGTGTTACTCACCGTGGTAGAATGCAAAGATTTAAGGGCAAAGATAGCTGGCTTATGACATGTCGTTCATTTGAAGAAGGCTTCATGAAGTTATGGTACCTCTAGTGTTACGCAGATGGTACTGATATAACAATGATAATAACATTTGTGATGTGTGGATTCGCGATGTGACGACGCCACAGCGATCCACATTATTTGTTTTCTTCGAAGTGGTCAGCAACAACATTAGTCGTAATAGTAGCAGCAGCAGCAGTAGGACGCTGTTGATATCCATAGTAACTTTCGCCGCAGACAGCTTTTTCTTCGTTGACAAGGTCAATGTGGAAAAGTAACAAAATAACATTGGAGTAATTCAGCAGTGCATAATCGTCGTACCGATCGATGCCTTGCACTTTTAATGCTGTGTTAATCTCCTTCATCTCTTAACAGGAAAGATTTATGATAAAACCATGAGCAGTTTCTTGTTCAATCTTAATCGTGATTTTGTCGTCGATGCAACGCGAAAGGGTAACAAGATCCGATTCGCCAATCATTCAGTTAATCCGAATTGTTATGGAAAGGTAAGTGTATGTGGGATACTCTTTCAGTCTTATGTTTTAGCTTTCCTCTCTTTCCTTTCCTTTTTATACAGTTTTATAGTGTATAGTTTTGCAGACGTTTTTGTCTTGGGTTCATCTCAGATGATCTATCGAAATCCTCCGTCCCACCCGAATGGCGGGTAGTGAGTGTATATTAGGTGCGTCTGTTGTTGTGTGGTGTTTCTTTGAGTCGTTGTTTGACTATGTATCTCATTCACTTGAGGCATAGATCGGGGGAAAGGAGAATCTGAGAACTTGATGGAGACGTCAGTTGCACACACACACACAGGATGCCTAACATGGCTCTTGGTGTGTTTTCGCATCCATGATGTTTTCACTATCTGTGTATGGTGGTTCCAACCATGGGTGGTGAGCTGTTTCCTGGTGTAATTCAGTGTCTGCTTTCATACCTCATTATAAACGTTGGTAATCAAATGAAAGGGTGTGGTCGACAGTGAATATCTTTCTCTCTCTCTCTCTCCGTGAATGTGTGTGTGTGTGCGTGTGTGTGTAAAGAAAGCTTCGTGTACAATCTGTGCACATCTCCGTTGTGATACACTCCCCTCACTGTCGATGGGATCTTTGCCGCATATATGAAATTTACTGTCCACCACTCAATACACCAATGTTGTGTCACATTTCACTGAACAGTGGTCATTGGGTGATAGGTTTCCAGGTGACGTATTTCCATATTTTTGTGTCAGTCAGTGTTGTTTGTTGATACTCGAGAGTATTCAAATGGAAATTCTGGTATCTTCGAATGACTGAAGATTGCATCCTGCAAAAGTTATTTCATTAGAAGAAGTTGAGTCTTTCCCAGTAATAAATATTGTGTTTTCGAAAGCCTGAACAGTGAGTTGTTGATGTTTTGACAGAAGTGTCCTTCAAGATCTACTTATCCATGATATTCCAGTCATTATCCGTACTGCTTGATTCAAAAGTTTTGCTTGTTTACTCTAGAGTGAATTTCACCGTTGGGGAAGAATGAAGTGTCACTGAAATCAGCTGTGTTTCAAACAATAGCCGTCTGGAGAAAGTCAATTTTGTGAGGTGACATGTCACCGAATTTGTCATTACTTTCGATAATAATATTGGGTCTCAGAGAACGATGTTGAGTGCAATAGGCTACTCGATTGAATAGCAGCAAATACGACTGTTCTCCCGAGATCGCCTTCTGCTGTTGTGAGCCCACAAAGAAAAACCGAAGACAAGGACAACAACAACAACGACTACAGCATTATTAGACAAGAAGTCCATCGTATATGTGTAGATATACTACTGGAAAGCTAGTGTGATTTGTTGTATTAAGCTCGGACATCATATACTTGCCAATGGAATTTGGTTGAAACTGCTGCACCCTTAATAGCCAGTGGTTTTTAACCGGTTCCAGCCTGTGGAATACAGTAACTTTGAGATTAAGCTAATTGTTTTGAGTACAGGAGGGAATATACATATGTATAAAATGTGCATTCACTTCGAGTGTTTCATGTGCCTGTGTGCCGAGATTGTTTATTTCACTCTTTCTTTCAACTAGTCTTTCTCGCCAGAAATTATTCTATCGTAGAGTGAATTTATTTGATAAAAGCACACAATGATACAGTGTTATTGACATTTGAACCACAATTTATTATTACTGCTCATAGATAGAGTTCTCCTTGTGGATTCCCTGACTTGAAAGTAAAATTTGATTCCCTGTCTTCTATTGAGTCTGCATATGTGAAGGAACTGGTGATAGAATCAAAGTATAAGAAAGAAAGAAAGAAAGAATTGTATGAAGAAAGTTTGAAAGTTATGTGAGTGACTTGATGATATGATTATGAGGAGTGATGAATTCTGCTCGAAATGTCATATCATCATCAGTAAGTGAACAATACTGTATCAGTGTGTACTTTTATCGGATAAATTCATTCAATGATGAAATTAGACTCTGCCAGGAGAGTGAGTGAGTGCCCAGTGATTTTCATGTTATATCATAAATTGTGTTTTTTTCCTACAGGTGGTCATGGTGAACGGTGATCATCGAATCGGTATATTCGCAAAACGTGCTATTCTCCCTGGAGAAGAACTATTCTTCGACTATCGTTATGGTCCCATGGAACAGTTGAAATATGTTGGGATTGAAAGAGATACAGATGCTCCGAAAACTTCTACTTCTGCTACTGGTAGTAGTAGTAGTAGTAGCAGTAGCAGTAGCAATCCTTCATGTCTACCGAATAAGTCCAGTGAATTTCCTGCATCGCCATCCAGTCATTCAGTGGAGAAATCAAACTGATATAATCGAATGTGGTGAGTTTGAATGTTTAATAAGGATGTGTTTTGTAACCCAGTGGCTAAATCGTCAACAAGTTGACTTTGTAATTATTTCAATACTCTCAGGGTGGGACATGACTGACTCTCCAGCTTTTGTGAGCACTAGACTTTGACGATGATGATGATGATTAGTCATAATAGATTATTCATATAAGGTTGGGGAACGAAAATGGACAATTCAGTTAGTTGATGGTTGTGAAAGGTATTTGGTGAGTGGCTAGTACGAAGGATAGTATACATTGAAGAGGAGAAGATAGTGAGACTGTGGTGGAATAGTCATGAAATCATGGAGTAATCAATATGGGAAATAATATCGCTAATAACAGATCATAATAGTGTATAAATAGTAGGATAGTCGAATGAAGGGTGTAAAACATTGTGACTAGGACTTTTTGGAGGTAGAGAATCCCTTGGTGCGGTGAAGACGTTCCAGTGGAAGTTTGATCAGGGCAGAAATAACGTGTTAACTTGTTTTTATTTGATGCAAAGTTGTGGTTAAGTCAACAATTTCAGCTATATGTGGGTGAAATAGGTTGTTGGGATGGCGATTAGAGTAAAAGCAGTTACCGGCTTAATGTAAGAAGTTTTATCTTACACTAAGCTGGAGGGTCTGTGACTCCAGAGTTATAGAGGTACGGTGAAGACAGTTTACTGTCTGCATCAACTAGGGTACTAGGCAGCGTTTGGGAATCAGAGGAAGTCCCGTCGGGCCGGTGTAAGTCATTGATTACCCCGATATACAAGAAGGGAGACAAGTCTTCCTGTGATACTCACGGGGGGATTAGCTTGACTAATATGATATCTAAAGTTCCAGACTCAATAATCATGCTTAGACCAAGCGGTCCATGGGAGGAACAAATACGAGAGAACCAGGCAGCCTTTAGACCAGATCGTATCGTGACTCAGGGATCGACTTGTTACCATCAGGGAATAATCTCATAGATTTAGAATATGCAGATGATGTAGTCCTTCCAGGTGAAGACGCTGACAAAATGCAGAGTCTTCTGAACGCCTTGAGCTGCAATCTGCGAATGTTTGGCATGCGACTCGCTCGTGCTGTCAAATGTAAGATGATACTACAGGACTGGACTATACTGATTCCTAGCTTAGAAATAGGGAGTGAAGTTGTTTGTGAAGCGTGTTGACCACTTCACTTATTTGGAAAGTTGTATCAGCCAGCGCCAACGGGTTGGTTTCTGACGAAATCTCAGCACGGATACAGAGGGCTGGTTTCGCATATTCCAGTTTACGCCGTCTCTGGTGTAGACGTCATATCCGGCTGGCTATCGACCAAAGTGCGTGTGTACTGCTCAACAGTCCGCTCCGTTCTCGTCTTGTAGTTAGTACAAATGCTTCTACTATGCGTGAGAGTTACCATGGTGTTATTTGGTGTAAGGATGGCGACTGGCAGTGTGGGTTCCAAGATATGAGCATTCTGTTTCGTGTCCATAGTGGATAACATATTGAAGCTTGAAACTATAAGTGTGTCTCAGTGGGAACACCGTCAACTACTCGCTGACGAATCCTGGGTTCTTTTACTGCTTGTCACCATCCAGCATATACATATATATATATATTAATCAGATGGTTGAGTTGTGTCATCTTTCTTCCTTATTACAGTTTTCCATTTTACTAGTGAGTGCTTCAGTTTTACTGTTGTCTAGTTAAATAGTTTTAATTTGTCTTAACTAACCGCACCATCACATGGGAAATACCAGCGAGCCTCAGTGGGTTATTTCTATTACATCTGTTGAATATATTTCTGTGTATTATCGAAATTTACTATTATCATTTATCATTGTATTATTATTGTTGTTTGCATTTTCTATAGTTTTATAGTTACAGTGAGGTTTCTCCTCTCTTGTTCCACTTTCCAGGGTTGATTCCATGTTTAGTTTTTCGTGTGTACTTATTAACTGTGTGTGGTATTATGAGCTGCGTGAGCTGCTGTTACTGTTCAATAGATTCGGTCGTTGCTTCAACATGTTTAGAACTTTTTCTGCTTTATTTGTTTATCTATAAATAATATTATTATTCATTTTCTTTTTGTACATGTTAACATGGTAATTAAATTAATGTTATGCCTTATCGTAAATTTGTATTGTTATCATTTGATGCTGTGTATTTTAAAGACGAAAGTGATTTGAGTTAAAGAACTTTTGGAGGACTAGGGAGCACTGAACACTGAACAGTTGTTACTTCGTGTCCTGGTTTTGGACTGTTCAACAATGCGGATCTATTATGTTGTGTTATTAAGGATCGAAGAACGTAGGACCTTGTGTTTACGAGGCGAACCTTGTTGAGCGTTGTTGGGATGAAGTTGAATGGCTTGTGAATTGTAAGTCCTGCCAATTGGCGACGTATATATGGTCGCCGCCGGCCAATGTCGTCGTTGATTATCTGACGCCACACTCGACGACTTCGTAGACCCCTACAGAACCCCAGAGAGTTTCATCCTCTACTCAGTGGGTGGTAGTGGGCATTCGATTAATTTCCAAGTGTTGGGACTTCAACGGTTTCAAATCTGGTCACCTAATGACGCTAGTTTGAGGAACCAAAAGCTGTACAATCGTATTTGTATCTGCGAAAAGACAGCAGTCAATTAATTGAGTAATGGGGTGAGTGAGTGGCTGGACGTAACTGGTACAATCACTCGGGAGAGTGGTTTCCAAAGATAAGACATTGTGTGATAATCAACGACACAATGGAAGTATGGGTTATTAGATTTCACAAGGTGGGAATTGTTATTCGAAGAGAAGCAAGGTAGTTGACTGAAATCCACTTCACGATTGTGAAGAAGGTGGGAAAAGTTAGTAAAATGTACAAAAGGGACATGTGATGGTGATCATCGTTTAAGCGTACTTTAAAATATGCGCTCTTCTGTTTGCTGTGTTTTGTGATCTTGACAGCTGTTTTGACATCAATCTTGTGATTCCTCATATCAGCAATACGCTTTTGTGTAGACGAGTCTGGTAGTAGTCCACCGTCTGTGAAGGTTCTGAGGCCGAATTGTTTTTGATGCCATATGGGTATCATTTCACTCGCCTTCACATATAAACCACTATTACTCCTGCATAAATGTGTGTGTGTGTGTGTTTGTCTACATACAGATGTAGATCGTTATACAATACGTGGTGTGACTTAGTCGCTTGTGGAATGATGAGTATTGTCAGTGAAAATAGGATTGGTGAAATGTCTGAGTAATAGAGCACAAAAACTAAGTAGTACCAAGGGAAATCTAAGACAGGAAGTGAGGCATATAAGAGAAGCTTTGAAGCTTAACTAATAATTACCCTGATAAATTAGTCAGAAAGTATGTAGGAAAATGTAAAAATAAAATAAATGATGGTAGCAGTGATAGTGATAATAATAATAATAGTAATAATGACATGCATGTCAAACATTCACGAGATAATGACAACACCAAAGATAAGGAATCTAAATCATCAGTAGTAATTCCATACAAGGAAGGAACCTCGGAAACCTTACTCAGAATTCTTAACAAGGCAGGAATAAAAGTGGCTGGCATTCAAACCCACAAACTCAATTAGAAACATACTTTGTCAGTTAAAGGATCCCGTGGAGCCTTTACAACAAAACAATTTAGTTTATCTAATACCCTGCTGGAATGGTTGTCAGGTCGAATACCTAGGTCAAACTAGTAGAACAGGTGCAGTTAGACTAGTCGAGCATAAAATCTAGATTAGTTGACCCGAATAAGATGGGAAATTTAGAGAATAGTTGAGCTATACCAGTCACTACATGCAATCACACACAACCATACTATAGGATGGGTGGAGTAAGATGGCAGTTTTTAAACCTAATGTAGCAGCGTGGAGGGTGAGATTGATAACGGGAGCTTTGTTTATCAAATCAACTGAGAGAGAACACGTGTAGTAGGAAGAAGTTAGACAAACTTGTCAAGATCATTCGACACTCATCGCTTCATGTTACTTTCAGTAAGAGTAGAAAGAGGAAAGTTGCAGTAAGTTTGTCATTGACTGCGATTATTGGCCATATCTGATGAGGTTTCGAGTCGGCGATTTGAACTACCCCTCGGATCGCCAACCAGGGAGTCGTGACGTACCAACTGTTGCTAACCTAATACAAGTGTGCTTCATCTAACGGCGCCACATCATGGGCTGATGACCTCTTTGCTTTTCCCATCCGGTCGTGGGACTAGTGAATAGATACCGGTGCAGTAGCCTCTGGGATGATGATATAGGTAGCACATGCTGGTATTTCCTGATGACTACAGTCCCTGAATGGCGGTGCAAGAACATACTGTCGGATTGCAAAACTACTTACAAGACGATGCCATAGGACTCAACCAATTCTAAGCGAGTGATAGCTAAGACTACATTCCAGGATGTATGTGTCGCTTCCTAGATCAGTGCAAGCATTCGAATCCGTGATTTAGCAGATTCAGCGGTCTGAACTTCGACATTCTTATAGTTCGGCAACCATTCCAGGTATTTGCGATCTGTTGTGAGTAGCAAATGTCTACTTAAGAGATGATGTCAGTGCACGCGGATGAAAGAAGCAGCAGCTAATGCTTTCTTCCTGGGAATGTAGTAGATCTGGAAGGGTAGAATTCGGCATCTCTATATAGCCAAATTATGTAAACCTTATCTTCAACGCACCATTTGCACAGAATTTCGTGTTGTGCTACTTCTGGCCTTCACATTGTATTAATTTGTGTTCCTTTCACGTCTCCCATGTATCTCCACGACACTGTATCATTTGCTCTCTCTGACATCAAATGTATCTCCGTGCTATTTGATGTTTTTATGCTGATGAATGTCTCTTTATAAACTAGTGATAAATCTTATCAGTAGTGCACGCCATATTTCGGCTCTATTCAGGTTAATATAGAGATACCTTATTCGACAGCATCCTTTTCCATCGTGTCTGACTTGGGGCGAAACCGTGCCAATGATTGGATGTCTTGCATCGATGCCT